TTTGTTCAGTCTTCAGCTGATATTTGTTCAGTCTTCAGCTGATGTCTGTTCAGTCTTCAGCTGATGTTTGTTCAGTCTTCAGCTGATGTTTGTTCAGTCTTCAGCTGATGTTAGTTCAGTCTTCAGCTGATGTTTGTTCAGTCTTCAGCTGATGTTTGTCTACGTCTTCAGCTGATGTTCATTCAGTCTTCCTCCTCACCTCGATGGTTTTGCTCCACAGAGGCTGATGGGAGTGGGTGTCCCACAGGTGGACCTGTTTGTCCTGTGAGCAGGTGACAAACTGCTCCAGGGAGGGGTGGACGTCCAGACCCCACAGCTCGTCTGTGTGTCCCTGTCCAACACGCCACACAGGTCAGTTTCAACATGAAGGGGGCTCAGACAACAGACCTCAGAGGCTTTGTGCACCTGGACTATAGGGGTCAGGGTGTCGGGGAAGGCCGCTCTGATGATGGCGTTCTTGGTCGTTCCGACGAAGAGCTCGCCTGGTTTACCTTCAGCCAGAGCCCGGACCGGACCGAGCGGTTCTCCCACCTGAACACGCGACAAAAACATGAAATAAACCAAACAAAAAGACATGAATGAGAAGAAGAGGCCCCCTGCAGCCCCCCTCCCACCTCCATCTCAGCCTGCTTCCTGTAGTTGTGGTCCCACAGCACCACCTTGCGGTCTTTCCCACCTCCGGACACCACGGTGCCGTCCTTCAGGACGCAGAGGGAGAAAATGCCGCCCTCGTGTGCGCCTGAGACCACCTGGCTGATCCGGTTCCCCCCTGTCGACACAAAACAAGAAACTTTGGTTCTTTAAAGTGTTTTATACATAAAGCTGCTGTGGTTGTACAACATTGTTTTAATTCTTTAAATGGATCCAGGATTAGTTGTAACATTAGACTTTATTTGACAAACATTTATTTTAACTGTAAAATAAAGACTGTAAAAATACTGTAGGCCACAGGAGCCCAAAGTGGGGCCCGTGGGCCAAATTTGGCCCACCAAGCCATTTGATTTGGCCCACAAACAGTTGCCAAATTTACAAGGTTGTAACCTGTTATCCTATAGGTAGAAACACAGTATTTCCATTGGTCAAATGACTTTATAAAAGGGCTGTAGTGAAGGTAGTTTTCAGTCATGGTGCTGACATTATCTTTGATTTATTAGGATTAAACATGAAGCATAAAATGACAACAAGAAATATTTAGATCAGATTTAACCCCACATGTAGATTTGGACACTTTATAAG